TTAGGTTCTGCTTGTATTCCCTTGTATAAGGTACCTAGACTAGCCTCTTGGCTGGTCTCTTGGCTACTCCTTTGCTATAGCTCTCAGTACTCTCATGGTATACCTAATAACATATACCTTCTGCACTCCTGATTCTATCAATTATAGTAAGGTACCTGCTCTGCGGTCTTTCGATACACTCCCGAACGAAACGTTGGCGAAATATGGACGGTAGGAAAGGAGGCGATGGGGACTGAGAGCTGAACTGGTTTGCACGGTATCCGGAGGACTCCTGGCTGTTTTGCAGCTGCAGCATACTGCATGTAAGAAGAAGTGCTGTATTAGCAAGCTTTTGATAGGTTCATCTCAGAAATGCAAAGTGGATAAAATAGGTAGATGGATATATTAGCTCCACCAACAATCCCCTGCTCCCGCACGCGAGACATTCTCGGCCAAGGTCCTGCTCCTCATCTCTATCGGTTCGAACCCATCTATAAGAACAGAGAATACAAATAAACGTGACATTGTATTACTACTCAAAGGCAAACATTAGTCCGCAGCGCCTTCTATGCCCCACTGCTCCGCCACTTCGCCCGTACAGCAGCAATACGGGTCGTGAGCTATGTGTGTATGCTCTTCCTAATACGGAACTACCTTGGCTCACCTCGGTGGATCGGCCTCGACTCTTATCGTTCTACGACCCTAACAACGCTCCGCTTTCTTTTAAGCTCGTTATGGCAGCTTCTGTCTTGCTTCTTCAGTTTTTCTCTTTGACGAGAGACTCTGTTCTCTTTTCACGATCTACTCTGTCTATAAAATCAGGGCGCAGGCGATAGCAATACTGCGATACCACTTTGAAAAGCTTGTCAAGACTTTCTTGTGTATATGTATATATATATATATATATACGAGTCTCTAGCTCCGCACCTCGCCGTACCTTAGAAGAGGTCCTAGGGCGGCGGCAGGCTCCGTTTTGCAAATCCCGCTTGGCATAGATAAACACAATAACCAAAAGATATCAACGATAATTTGTAAGCCCGGAATGATCTGATCTGATTAGATCTGCTCTACCCTCTTACACCCGCTCAAACCATCGAGTTCAACTTTCTTGTTAGAAGGCAACTAAATAAATTCGCATGAGAGTAATGTCAGAGACACTATTATATATTTATACTATGATCGTCCTTTTCATAACTAGTGCTCTTGTTCTTAGCCACCCCGCCAGCCTCGAAAACTCAACTTCACCGGCGCTTTTCTCCTTCGGCCCGCGCCGAGATCGTTTCCATCCTATTTATTTTGTATAAACCACCACGCAACCCAACTCCCCAAGCTCAATACCAAGAACAGAGTAGCTAGCTGATGTTCACGCATGGTTGTATTGGCTTTGATCCTTAGCTGAAGTGGTGCTTGTTAGGCTCCTCTCGTGATCCCGAGCCGAAAGTGAAGTGAAGTGGTGTGGTGCTTACTAGACGGGTTGGCTAAGAGGGAAGAATTGAAGCTGGCTTCCACCTCTTTTTTTTTTTCCTTTTTTTTTCTTCCCTCCTTTTTTGGGGGTGAGGGAGGGGCTTTTTCTCTCTTTCTTTCTCTCTCTCTGCCAGAGATGATCCGAAGATCCTTAGATCGAACGGGTCCTTTGATAGCATTTCTTTATGCCGTATTGCGCTTCATCTCTCTCTCTCTCTCTCT